TGTATATGCATGCATTTAAGAGTGGGACAAGCTATGGGATCCATAAAACACCAGAAAAGGGTGCGTCAGGTGAAGTCACATACTAAAATATGATACGATTACGGTTAGAGCCGACACTCTATAGGCTTTTGTAAAACTAATATTACAAGGCTATAAAATGAAAGATACTTGATACTTGTATATACAATTCTAGACATCAAATGTCAAACTTGGTGACTCTGTCTCTTAAAACCCATGAGATTTGTTAAAATAAGAAAATTTCGAAATCGATTTTTATCGATTGCTTCAAAAGGGGAAAAGCCATCGACGATCACAAGCGAACTGTTGTATACAATTGCACATAACCATTATACACTTCTTTCCTATTTTCAATGTGTTCGGGGTATAATTATTTGGAAACGTAATTGGCACACTTCGCAAAGTTATTACTTAAATACACATCATTAATTTACTTCAGTTATTACTATAATCACTTTATTATTACTAACTCAGAGATCGCAATAGCATTATTTAAATCATGATTGTTATTCGCTTAAAAAACAAAACTCAATTGTCTTAGCATATGGAGAATATCAAAGCTGTCTTTAGGATTCAGATTCAGATTTAAGTACAGGTAGCTGCTGCTTCAGTCTATGGCTATAAATCAAACGCATATCCTGTTCAGCCTTAGTCAGTCATATCAAAGGCTTCAAACGCTTCACTGCAAATAAATTTAATATGTATTGAGTTTTAATGAGGGGCACAACAACAATGATACCTCAACCAACAACAGCTCGTACATGGCATGTGTGTGTGTATACATAGTATATATAGTAGTAGGAGCCACAGTCAAGTGCCTGCTGAGAGTCCCTATCCAGGGAATTATTGCGGCAAGTGAACCCGAACGTGATTAGCATGTAAGAAGCAGTGACAGCGACTGCGACTGCGACTTCGACTGAAACTGCGACTGCGAGCAGTTGACAGTTGTCAAATCCACTTAGGCTCTTCAGGGTAAACAGTTTTTGACGAGCCTGCTGAAGGATTTATTTAAGTGCGGACAGACTAACAGACTAATAAGTGCGGCCGGGCATATAAATAAAACTCTGTTTTGCCAGATATGTACATAACATAGGTATCTGTACATTCATCTCTTAGCACTGCTTTGTGCGTGCTGCAAGAGCAGCAGCTGCTACCTGTTGCTACCTGTAGTTCATTTGTTCGTTTATCGGGGAATGTTAATGGGAAAGCCCTGAAACATTTATAGTTCTTGCTGATTCCGCCAGCTCACTGAGAGGGTTTCGCCTAGTTTTAAGAGTAGGCACCAAAAAATTAACCAAACACCTTTGAAACAGCTGTACAACTTAACTGAATTTAATTCACCTGTGAGTCCAAAACAACACAAAAGCACGACAAATCAAATGCAAAGCGAATCTCAAATTCCCTTTCAGCATTAATGTAAGAAAATATATTATATGGCCTGGCTTAAGTTTAATATTGAGTCAGAAATGCTCAACAATTTAAAGGGATTCATCTTTATAGGACTTTATGTTTAAATATTGTTACCAGTATTTAATATTAGCTTGTGTTATGTACAAAACATTTCCTACGACTCGATGCAACTTAAAAGAAAGGTTTAAGCGCATTCATCTTTTAAACAAATAACTGCAGGGCAACAAGTCATAAAAAGCCATTGGCATTGAAGAAATACAACCAGATGCCAACTGTTTCAATAAAGAAAGCAAATTGTAGGTTTAGTGTTTCTTTTTATGTTCGCAACACTAAATGTTCAGCTGTTTTCTGGACCTGGCTCGAAGTCTGCTGAACTCGAGCTGAGACCGTTGATGAAGAGGGAGGGGCTCCCATATTTGCTCTACAACATATTGACACAACAGCCATACAAAATAAACGAGCTTTCCTTTAGGTTCTTTATATTCTGGTACTTGCGCGTGACAATAAGTTTAACATAAGTACCATCAGATCATAATGAATTTAATGTGAATATACTATAATGTCAGAGAAAACAATCATAATAGCTAGATATAAAAGAAAGAGAAAGGAAAATTAATAAGTATTGTTATACAATTTCCGGTATAACTTTTAGAATCACAACAAACAAGTACATTGCAGTCGGGTGCAAACGACTGCTTAATACTCTACCAAAGTGAGTTAGAGTAAAACTATTTTGATGGAAGATATATATATGCCCGACTAGTCACATCACCAATAGAAGTCATTTAAATATTTTTAACTTTGATCTTTAGCAGAGATTATCAGCAGGCGTCATTCCAAATATCGTAAATCTACCTCTTAAACTCTACAAGATATCGCCTTTCCTTATTTGTCACTCCCCCAGTGGACGCATTATTCAAGGCAAGAACACATTCTGCATCTGGAAACTGAAGAGATCAAACCAAACACCACACAAGCCGATATAGCGATCGGCTGAAATCACGAGCGAGATCATCATTCCTTACACTTATCACTTGAGATTTGATAAAGCGTAGCCTCTTTATATACCCTACTTATCATGTTATAGCCAAAATTGCTGGCTTATTCTTGGCAAAACAAATAAAAAAATGTTTGTAATTAAAAGAGAGTAAACATTACAAGTTTGCCTAATTTCAAATCAATACTCCCTTTTTAGCTTTTTCAACAAGTATTAAAAACTCTGTGCAGATTGTTATCTGAGTCAATTTATAATTTCTTAAAACTTATTAAAACTGTAACCAGATTCACTTTACCGTTCACCTCAAAATACTCGTTCTGCTCAAATGGCAAAGACGTACGAAAAACATGTGATTTAGCAGGGTTCGACTAGAAGATACCCAGCATACAGCGCCGAGCTGCTGTAGCAAGGATTCGACTTAATGAATCGATTGTGCTACTCTTGAAGGAGGAAGCTATCTAAGGAGGAAGGAGGAAGCTATCTTATAGTTAAATTATTCTTGATCTGATTATACTATACGAAAACTTAAATATCAAATTTATAATAATAAACTTAATAAACTTTGTTTCAAAATCGAGAAGTATCGATTGATATACGCGAATATTTATTTTGAATTTCAAGTATTTGGTTTATATAGCTTCCTAAATAGATTTGTTCCTACAGAAAAACACACGGACTTGGGTAAATCCACTCAGCTCGTCATCCTGATGAAGATTCTTTTATACTTTTAGGACTTGGAGCTGTCACAAACATATGCAGGAAACTATTACACCCATTCATAGCAATTTTCATCGAGTGTAGGGTGTCTGAAAATACATCTGTGAAATTATTTCACACTATGAGTGGAAATCCGTCAGCCTTGTTGGCGTTTGACTTTGACAATTGATGGCCGGCACATTTGTCTTTCACTTGTTGCGCTTTTTGTGAGCCAAGTTCTCTCTCTCTCTCTCTCTCTCTATGGACAACTTCCCGTTTTCTGTTCGTCTTGCGTTTGCGTTGTTTGCCTTTGCATTTGATTTTGGCTTTGGTTTTGCTTTTACTCTGCACTTGGCCACATTGTCTGGCTGCGACGGCCTTTTGAAGTTGGCTCGTTATGACAAATGTGTGTCATTGCAAGCTGGCTGGGACCATCAAAGAGGCGATCGCTCGTTGGATTTGGATTTTGTTTGGCGAGGTGTATTTGAGACTATTGATGGGCGACGTAAACGGTAAAACGTGGCTAAGTGAACGGCATGTGGGATTCGATGAGATGCACGATCTGTTCAATACAAAAAGTACAAAAGGTGAATCGGCAAACAATTAAATACTTACCTGCTTAAGATCAATCAAAACTAGTTTAAACGGCTGTGCAAAGCCGTTAGGGGCAAACGCTTCCACTTTGTCTACCGAGATATATATGCTATTGGCATAAATGATATAAAAAACTTTTCTTCGGGGCGCAGAATAGAAGAATATTTCATCAATCAATGCTAAACGTTTTTCAACCAAGACTCTTTCTTTATATTGGTAATATCGGTAAACCACAAGAACTAGAGCCGACTTTATCAGTTTCTCTGAATATACAAAAGTTCGTATGATGACCCATTCCTCCTAAAAATGTTGAAAGATAATTGTTTAAGGTGTAGCCTATTGAGCGAACTACAAACGCAGAAGTTATTCAAGGATGCAAATCTCTTCCATAGTGTGGAGTACATAGAAAATGAAGCACAGACGCTACGGGTCTTAGGTAAATCATGCTTTTCAGGGTATCTTCCAGTCGGGCACTCCAGACTAAAGCAATCTCACTTATTTACCTTATTTTTTTCTTCAGCGCAAAGTTCATATTGACTCTTAAATTGGGTACATTAAATTGCTCCTCATACATGAACTGTAAATAAAATAATATTTACCTGTTGGTATGATGTAAATATTCACTTGGTGAAAAACGATCAAAATTTAATATTCGTCCAATCAACTTCAAGCTCTTACAATTTTTGATACTATAACTAGCAGGTATTCTCGGACCCTGCCCCGTGTCATAGTTTATATTAAAAGAAATAAAAGTGTCATATTAGTATTATAAATAAACCATGTACAATTTGAATTTAAATCAATGTTGTTCAAGATAATATTGATCCAAGTTAACCTAAAGCGGTCCTCTTTAGATGAGTTACCAAAGTGACAAGTTTGTTAGGGCACGACGGCATAATGATAGCTCGACTGATATCTTGTAGCTATATCCTATACATATATATAATAATAAGAAAACACCTAAAAGTATACTCCTTGAAGGCCTTCTTTAAAAAAAACTGTTATTACTCCTATCTTCCATTTTTTTTTCAATATGATAATGATATTTTAACCAAATTACAATCTTATCAATAGTGTTCATTTGACTTATAGAACTCAGTTAGCTAAGAAGCTTTAATGCGTGCGAGTGTTTTTTTAGGATAAGTAATCAATTATAGAAACCGCCTATCAATTTATTAATGTTAGTTCTAGGAAGTGCAGTGAAATCTAATCAATGCCAGAAGTGAGTCATTGAATTTTATCCCCCTCCTTATAAAGAGGGCAAGTTCTATAAAATCAAAGTTAGTCAATTGTAGGAGGTTGGTAAAATGGGAGCTCTACACGTTATCCTTTCGGTGCTGTGCCTGACTGTGGCTGCTGCGCAGTCGTTTGCGGACATAACACCCTTCAAAACGTATCCTGCCTCCTGTAAAGAAGCCAAGGCCAAGAAGAATGGCATCTATAAGATACAGCTGAAGGGCGAAGAGCCGTTTAACGTCTATTGCGATGCCACCATGGCCGGCACTGGCTGGTTGGTCATCCAGCGACGCGTGGATGCCAACATTAACTTCTTCCGCAATTGGTCGGCCTACCAGCAGGGATTTGGCGATTTGGATGGCAGCTTCTTCATTGGCCTAAACAAGTTGAATGCTCTAACTGCATCTCAGCCACACGAGTTGTATGTTTACCTTGAGGATTTTCATGGCCAAAGTCGTTATGCCAACTATTCCGCGTTTGCCATCGGCAACGAGGCCAATCTGTACGGCCTAAATACCCTGGGTATATATAGCGGCAATGCTGGTGATGCGCTCCGATACCATCAGAACATGAAGTTTAGCACCTTTGACCGCGACAACGACAATAGCACTATTAACTGTGCTGCACAGTACTCAGGTGCTTGGTGGTATAAGAGTTGCATGTACAGGTAGGCAAAGACCGTTAACCTTATGAGTTCAGTTATCTATATATACATATATATATATATCTTCTGTGCTTGCAGTAATCTCAATGGCGAGTATTTGGGCGGAGAGTACGGACAAGATCTTATGGGTCGTGGCGACTGCTGGGAACAATGGCAAGGAGTTAATTATGCCTACAAGAGAGTGCAAATGATGATTCGACCACTGAAATAAACTCAAACAGCCTTAAGGCTGCAAACCCTCGAAACTCCAATTGATTTTTTACTAAGAATCTAACACTTTGTTATAGAAAATGGTTTGGTTTAAATTAATTATAGTTTAGGGGATAAACAACTTGGGCCTCATTCACTGCGTTTATCTAATCATATTTTGCAGATAAGCAGAAATTATAAACTCAAAATTATACTCTTTCATTCTTGGTTTGAACCAGATTCGCGAGTTGAACTTCAAGTGGGGGAGTTACATCGAACCCTAACCCAAGAAAAATTCTTTTCGGTATTTTCAGCCCCGATTTCTCTACCGGTTCTTTGAATGGAAATGATCTCTTGTATGTATAGTACACACAAACATGTCTTTTCAATGCAGCACATTCTCAGATTTTGATGGAGAATCGTTTGGCTCGTTGACAGCTGCTCGAGGTCCAAATGATCCACGTTGCCAACGTAGCACGAACAGTAAATTCCGCATAACTTTGTCAAACAGAACGACAGATTGTCGAGGTATCCAAAATAGAAACTCTTAATTGCGAGTATTACGTTGAAAATGATACCAATAAACACGGCGCAGAGCGACAAAAAAGTTTTTGGAGGCAAAATTAGAACAAAATGCGACGTCTTCACGCACACTAAATGTGTTATAGGATACATATGTACGATGTCCATATACACATACATACATACACATACTTAACAATATTCAGTGTGGGGACAGCTAAGAAATTCTAAAAAAATGTCTTGAACAATATTCGAGTGAACATTTTGAAAAGATTTTTCCAAAACTCACACGGCACCAGACCATGGCAGCGACAAAGACATTTTCATAACTTATGTGTCCCTAAGGCAGAAGGGTATTTGTACTTCTATAGGCTGTTTGTAAAATAAAGTAGATATACAAATTTCCTAATACCTGATGAGTTAGGAAATTTGTATATCTACTCTAGGCAAAGTTTTCGGGGGAAGAAAACCCCCTCAAACATAAGAGATCTTTGACAGTAACTAAAATCAAGTCATGGTAAATAAGGGTATTTAGGGTTCGGCTGCGACTTTTGGCTGTCGTTTTAATTTCACAAGGAAGTGTGGAAATATTAGAGCATTCGCTTTACGAAAGAACGCGCCTCATTTCAGAACCCATCAACGACGACACGGCGGGCGGAAAACCTCGGCACAATTTTCATTTCAGTCAGAAATTAAGAGATGTTGTACAATTTGATGCCTCCCCGGGCGGAGTAGCTGTGGATCTACGGATCTCTGGGGTGGGGTTATTTCGGAGAGTGTCTGAGTAGCGTGAGTATCGTGTGTAGGTGTGCGTAGGTGTGTATGTCCATGTGTGTGTGCATGTGTGTGTGTGGCGCTGTCAACTGCTGTTGAAAGATTTTCATGTCGCTGTTTCCATGCCGCCTGCCAGCAGGCGACAGACATGAAATTCTTGAAAAACATTTTTAAAACTTTTTTCAAATTTTCCGATTTTTTTTTAGCTGTTGCCTGCATACGTAAAAGATTTAGCAATAGCAATGAATTTAGTTAATTTATGGCATTATTAATGACATTTTGAAATATTAACAGAAAATAAAAAAGAAAAGAGCTCACCAATGTTTGAGCTGACAGAATAAACGGCGACATTTTCTTTTACTACATTTTTTATTTTATTTATAAATATTTTTTTTGTGCAATAAATAAAAACAACTTTATATGTGCTGTTTTTCTGAAAAAGTCATGTGAGCTCTGTGCTTAAAATGTTTGATTTCCGTTCTTTTTTTGAATAAGAATGAGCATCGTGAACAAAGGGGAATTTCACTGGGTCAGTCAGTTATTCATATATTACGCTCTGTATACCTAGGCCAAAGTAATAAATATGCAGAATACTTTGACATTTCTGAATGGCACGAGCTAATCAACCTGCATAAAATGCAAATTTACTAACAAAGAAACTCAAAGTTCCAATCGAAATTAAAATATAAAACAAATTTACGATTCAATCAATAGAATCTTTCAGGGTCTTGTTGTCTAAATGCCATAAAATGTTGAAGCGCCCCTTCGGATTTTGTTTTTGTTGTTTTTCTTCTTCTTTAGCTGATTTAGTTTTAGTCACTAAGCCAGCTACACAAAGAAATTTACATTAATATGAGAGCAAAGTATAGCACATTATGCAAATGTCTGTTTGGCTCGAGTCTGTCGCATGCCCTGGCAACAAATCCAAATACGTTATATGCTATATAGCAGTCATTATAGATTTCGCTCCGAATTTGATGGAACTGCGCTTGAGCTTTCAGCTCTAATCGAGAATTCCACAAGTGCTGCCTGAGCTGATAACCTGCGCCTGGCGCTGTTATTGAGACATGCGCAGGCGCCTAATTAATGATATTTAGCTGAGAATTAGACTTTCTTGAATTCATTAAATAAAACAAAAACAAATAAACAATATAATATATAAAAATAAAAAGCATTAACAAATCTGCTGCGTGTGCACATTCTTGGCAAACAACTTTGATCCCATTTAATGTATAGATTTATAAATATACTGATTAAAGTTATTTAGAAAATAGGGATGGAAAATGCCACTGAATTCTAAACGTAACAATATAACCAAAATCTCTGGCATTGCATAATGTATTTTAGATCATATACAGGCTATAAATGATTTAATGGCCTCTTACAAAACTAAATATATATATATATTATTTGAAATACTTTAAACGCATTTGACATTTTTATTGCTTCCAAAAACAAATGCAGGAATTTCAAAGTCAAGCAACTAAAAGATTATTATCAAATTAGAATTTGAAATTTTTTTAATTCAATATATATACTCAAATCTGTAAATTCTTTTATACTTGTCTGGCGTGTTTATAAATTATTGCATAATTAATATAAAGAAAAATTATGACATTTACAAGGTTTGCAAGTTAATGGTTAAGGACAATCAAAATTGAACTGCCAAAATTTGGCGATAAGGAATTTAAGTATAAAATAAAACATGGGCAATACTCCAATCCCAAAAGTGGCCGTAGGTTTTTACGCTTAATCTTACAAGCGGATTATAAGCTCTGAAACATTACTAATTTATATTTCTGCAAAAAATGCGGGAAAAGTTTTTCGCAATATGCAATAAACTTCGTTTATCTAAAGTTAATATAATCTTAATCTGCGGGCGTGGTCCAAAATATTCGTAACTTTTTTCATATAATGCAGTTCACAAGCGTCAGGTCAAGTCTTGACTGTGAGTTATTTCTAAAATTGCATAAAGAATTATATGGGCTTGGTAGCTGTTGCCAAGAGCGATCCCCAAAATACGAATACCAGTAAGCGCATGAAAAATGTCATAAAAAACAACAAACTGAGTCGATTAAAATCATATACATAATTTGCATAAAATCACCTGAACGTTAAATACTTATTTCCAGCTTATGCCATGAACTGATCATAAACTTCAAGACAAAGCGCCAAATCAGAGTTTTATGTAAAACGAGACCAAACTCGACGGGGAACATGGAAGCATGTTGAATCAGCACTGCGAGAAATTCTTGATACATTGTTCTATTACTGTAAATATTATCAAAAAGTTATATTTAAATTATTTACTTTAAGCTTAGGATTTGAACCCAGATCCTTTTTATTTTCATTTAGAAAACTGGCTGTATCATTAATTCAACCCATTTACGAAGAATTTATTTATTAATACCTTTGATACTTATAAAAATACTAATTAAAAATATAATAAGAATACATTTAAAATCATACTAAAAACACAGAATATCAAATCACTAAATAAAAACACATATTTATTTATTTCTCGCAGTGTAAAATTGATACAATCAAAACAAGTAAAGTGAAGAGTGCTCGACTAAGATTTGCCCTATACCCAGCTATACTTAATCATGATCTATATTTTATAAAGTAAATACATAGTTTTTGTTTAAACAGTTTGTATATATACAACTTCACCTTCAAATTAGTTTAATTACACATACACAATATTAAGCTCTTGATAATTTATTATAAGTATATAAGGATATATCGACTGCTTTGTGTTATGAACCGTAGCTCAACTTTAATATACCTTGATTCCATATTTAACGGGTACAGGGTATACAAATAAAAAACTGTGAGTCTAACTTATGTGCGTCTCAAATAAAATTCCACATATTTGCATAAATGAGCCAAATATCATTCAAACTATTTTACATTTTTAATGAACTCAGAAAAAAAATATATTTATATACACATATATATTTATTCATACACTCCTCTTTTATCGTCTGTGACTTTTATCTATTTATGCACAATAGCCGCCATAAAGCTGAGTTTTATGACTTTAAATTAAGAATTGTATTGACAACCAATGCATTTAAAGGTTTTTCTGAAGTTTCCAATAAAAAATTAACTAAACTAAAATAACTAATGAATCTAGGAAGAAAATTTCATTTATTTTTCTTGTTAAAAAGTATTGTATACTTGCAGCATGGTTAGCAGACAATATTAGAAGCGATTAAAAAATATACAAGTATAACGTAGATATGAATACCATCTTAATCTGGACTTTTTAATTATTTATTTCAGTTTGAACACTTGTTGGAGGAGCTACGCAACAGTTGAGCTGTGCTGAGAGAACAGTGTTAAAAAACACAAAAATATGTCGACGAACATTTGCGACAGCTGGCAAAAGTTATCGATAGAAGATATCGATATAAAGACACGCATTTGCCAGTCACAGCTAAACATTTCTAGATCAACCGACAGCTCGAATCTGTTAATAACAGTAAAATTTAAATTAAAGACCAAAGTGCTTTCCAAATTACCGGCCAGCTGATGGTAGAATTAAAACAAGTTATTAACTAAAACTGTTCCCCTAAATCGCTTTAGCATATTTTTATAAATCTAAAGAATCGGGTATGGCAGTCCAAGCAAAAATGTTGCCCTCCACTGTTAATAACAGAAGAGCTAACTGTTAAGTTTTTGATGCCGAAAAACATATGTTTGACAAACGAAAAGCAGGGATTTAATATTTAATAAAACAATGGAAGACCCTCTGAAGCCCAAACCAGTACCGCTGGCAGCAGAAACAGTATTGTGGTTTGAATTTCTACTAGATCCGAACAAAATAACACAGCATTTGCAATGCAAAAATCCCGGTACGAGATGCAACGAAGCTGGTCGAAATCTTTCAGATGTGACATTGGCAACTTTATTTCACATACTTTCAGAGCCCAGTGCCGTGGAGCTAATCATGCAGTTTATCAGCATGACGCCGGATACCGCGATACAATCAACTGTGGTCACGCCGGGCAGCGATTTGCAGAACCTAGCCGGCGCCAGCGTCGGCGCCAATGCCACCACGCCTGCGGCCTCAGCGGCACTCAATGTGCCGCTCATAACACAGCAGCAACGGCAGGGAGATGTGCATCTGCAGTTGACGCGCAAACAGTTGGCCTTAAAAATTCTCGAGCTGAAAGTGGCCACTTGGCTCAGGTGGGATCTGGATGCGCTCGAGAAAGGCCTGCCCGTGCTCATGCAGCTGGGTCTGTTGCGCGATCTATGCACCATCAGCTATGGCCGCGTCGTCAGCATTCCGTTCTCAAACGATTTCGATTTCAAGATTTGTATGTTCCCTTTTTAGCACATTAGGTCCTGTGTAATATTGAGTGGGTGTGTGGGTGTGCTTGTGTTTTTCAGCACCCTCTGGGAATGAGCGTGCTGCGCGCTTTGCACTGACCATCTACCATCGGATGATACTTCGACTGCAGCTCATTAAGGACAGCTTATTGAAGAGTCCGCGTCCCCTTATGTGAGTCTTAGGCACAATTATGACCAGATTTAATAGTTTTGCTTCTAATGGCAGGTTTCAGGCGGTTGATCAGCTGCAACAGTTTTTGGACACACCCACCCAACCATCCATCGAATATCTGGAGCAGCTGTGCTCATCAGCGTCCAGCAAACCTTTTCATGTGTTCCACTATGACAGCTTTGTGGCCCTGCAGTGCGACACACTGAGCACCGCACAGAACTTCGACATGATGCACTTGATCACTCCACAAGAACTGCGCGCCCAGCTTCAGTCCGAGCTGGCCCATTACTACCTCCATACCAAGCAGTATGTGCTGGCGCGTGATTCAGCCGCCGGCTGCACCAGCAATCTTCAAGCGCTGCCACCTGGAATGACGCGCTTCTTTTGCCACATTCGACCCACGGAGTTGGAGGGTCTGTTGCAGGCTTGTGGCATCAGCGCACAACAGAAAACACTACTGGAACGCTTTCATCAATCCCTGCTCAACAGCTATACGGACATTGTGTCTATACTGCGCCTAGACAATCGTGCACGTGAGATTCCACTGGTGAGCCGGCGAAACGTAGAACTAGACATTGAAGGTGCGATCTCTACCGGACTGCTCAAGGAGACGAGCCAGTTGCTGCTGCATGTTGCCGCACTAAATGTAGTGCGCACCGTGTTCGAGTGGGGCAATATTTTTGGCAGCGTGGAGTATTTTGAGAAGTACCATGACCTGGACTACATGCCACCCTTTGTAGAGGCAATGCAAGATGCTCTAACACACTGCAGCCAGTCAGAGCAGGCGGCAATTAAACATTTTCTTATTGATTGCGTCCTGTATCAGCAGCAACAGCAGCAGCTGGAACAAAGTCGACAGCTGCTACACACTTTGCGTGGCATGGGTATATTTTCTAAAGAGGAGCTTATAGATTTGGATGATCAGCTAGTCCAGGCGGCGCTGCCAGTGCTTAGCAACTCGTTGGCTACACTCAACGATTGGATATGCCATTCAAAAAGTAGGTCTTCTTAACCCAATAAATTGGTACGAACTAATTTCCACTGATTGTCTATTTTACAGTGACTCGCGTGGATGTAGCCGCGCTGGAGCGTCAGTTGATCACCTGCACGAATGCCAACAGTGTGCGGATTCTACTGGTCAAGCTGTGTGGCACGGCACCTGGTAAGCCCCTGTGGGCAATCAATCCCAGCTGGGATGTGCCACAGCCGCTAAAAACCCTGATTATGGCAATGCCGGTTAGCTTTCTGCAAGACTTCAGCTACGTACTATTGGGAAAGGCGCGGGAGCTGGCGGCCCGTGGCAACTACATTGATGCGGTATCTATGTTGAGTGTGCTTAAGTCTGAAACACAACGTCAGGAGCTGGGTGGCAGTGCGCAGTTGATGTGCAAGCTGATAACTTGGGAAATACTGCATATACAGATTACGCAGTGCTTGGATGAATGGCATCAGAAGCCACTCGACCTGCAAGCGCTCGGCACACGTTGCAAACAATGCTTGGGCGCTTTGCAGGCGGGTGATTCAATGATGCCAAGGTTGGAAATTCTCGAGAGCTGTGCAATCATGCTGCTTAATCTAACGGACTTCCCGCCGCTTCTTTACCTAGACAAGCGGGCGCAGCAGTTGGAATTACCGTTGGCCTTTGCAGCCACCTTTATTGAAATGGAAAAGATGAAGGGGCCCAAGAAGGTGTGTCGCGATGCCTGGGAACTGATGCTCAGCTTGTTCCTCAATGTGCCCAAGCGTGCGTCATCAGGCGCTGGCAGCGGCGCCAGCAGCTCGCTTCAAGCATTTCTGCAGCGTGTGCGCCACCAGAGTGTTTTTGGACTTGCTATTTCAATGCTCGGGAAAATGCACAACATACTGAAAGATGACCCCAATCACGATTTAAGCTGCGAATACATGCAGCTCTGGCCCACCAGCATCAACAAGTAGGTGTCATCTAATTTATAAATAAGAAATTCTTAAAACTTTACTTATTCTTCCAGCCTAAACAGCTACAGTCTGCGAAGTGTATGTGAGACGCTGCAGTGGCTGCTTTCCGAGGCACTCAACTACTATCCGCAGACTATCTCCTGGCTAAAAATGAAGGGCGATCTAGAGCTAGCTATTGGCAATAATGAGTCTGCCATGCGCTGCTACGTTAACGCCCTGGTCACGGGGACCGACTACTGCACCATGCCGCTCCAGCGCAACGTAGCCGATGACTATGTGATTAGGAAGATGATTAGGTGTGCCGCCAATTTGGGCTGCCACATGCAGGCCACCGTTCTTTGTCAATTTCTAGACGAGATCGACTATGGCATTGTCTTCAAGAATCTCAGCGAAAAGTCATCCAACTTCACAGATGCCATGGATGCATACTACAGCTGCATATGGGATACAACGCTCCTCGAATTTATCGTAAATCTACACGCGAAACGAGGCGAACACAGTCGAAAACTGGAGGCGGTACGTCAAAACGAAGAGATTGATCAGACATATTTCATATTTATTTCAATGGTCACATCTTCTTTAACTTCCGGTGTTTTAGATCTCAATGATGGGCACCTTGGAGCTAAATGCCAACAACAATGAGGAGATCAAACGGGAGAGCGCAATGGTACGCAAGTCGCGCTTCTTACGCGCCCTGGCCAAGCAGTATTTGCTGTAGTCACAGGCGGGGTCACCCCCATCCTGGCTGCATACTACATCCACGACCAAGCCCACAAAGAAGACCAATTAGAGTTAAGCTTGATAAGGTTTTGTAATTTAACGCAATTAGAATGTAAGCTTAAAGTGTAGCAATAGGTTTTTCTGGTTAAATTAAAGAAACTTGTATTTTTTTTAGGGACACTCACGCTAATTACTTTGGCCTTCTGCCGCGTCCAGCGCTACTTGTTTTAGCCTTCTTATTATTCGCACTTTTCTTGGCTTCCTCGGCCTTGCGCTTGGCAGCACCAGTGTTTGCATTGGGGGTACTAGGCAGTGTCTTGAAGAAGCTATCGAGGCGGACCTGCGTTTGTGCCTGCTTCGACTTGAGCAATTTCTTGGCACCGTTACGCACGCGCTCCTCGTTAAATTGCCGATCGCCGCACAAAAACTGAACCAGGCCATCCTCATCGGGCTCGGTCCACTTTAGGTCAATAGCGCTGGCATCGGCCACATCTGGTTCGATGAAGAGCTCGCGTGCTCGCTTGTAGTTCCAGTTCTCTGGCACTGGGTATTTGCTGGCGTCGATGTTCTCCAAAATGGTCTCAATGTCCCGATAGCTTTTGATCAGCTCTATAGCGCGCTTGGGTCCGACGCCTTTAATGCTCTCGCAGTAATCACAGCCCATTAGAATGCACAGATCAATGAATTCCTTGCTTGTCAGCTCCAGCCCCTGCAGCACTTTGTCATAGCTAAACTCCTTTACGGGCATTTTACGCGCTTCGCTGTAGGTCAAATAGCGCAGAAGCTTGCACGATCCAAAGGTTAGCGCATCCATATCCTCGGTTGCTGTAGCATATACTTTGCCTGCCTTAACTAGAGCAGCGCATTGGGCCTCAGCCTCACACGGTGCGTCTACAAAGGGAACACCCATGAGCTTGAGTAGCTCTTTAGCCTCGCGCGAATGTTCCTTAGTGACTCGCACTAGGCGACGATTGAATTTATCTATCTCCGCATCATCACCCGCTTCTGTTGCCGCTTTCAGCGCTTTTTCGGCCTCCTCACGCCGTTCGGCGCGCTTCGCCAGTTCGCCAGATTTCATATCTGGCGGCTTTCCATCGAAAACGTAGACCGGCTTTATGCCATTGTCCAGTAGACGAATGGTGCGATAAAACATGCCCATGAGATGTGAGGTTGGATCACCGTTGACGGTAGCTAGCTGCGCGCCCTCCGACCGAACCGCAATGAGAAACTGATACAGGCACATGCTGGCATCAATAGCAACTTTGCGACCTGGAATGCAATTGACATTGGTTTTAGCTATTCAATAAATGCATTGCTTGCGATGGATGCACACTCACCAAAAAAGTTTTTCATTTCACTTTCACGTATAGCCTGTGGAGCCAAATCCGCTATAAGCTTCGATAAGCCCAAAATACCCATGATAATTGTTTAGTGTGTGCTTGTTCGTTGTTGATTTTTTGTTTATTACTCTGATTCCGCTAGAAGAATACTCAGCGCGCGCTTTTGTTGCAAATGTTGTGCACGCGTCTTGCTGTGAGTGTCAATCAAATGCAGCGCTTTAGTGAAATATCGATAGCCGCTATAGGGACAAAGTTAAGTATGCATAATGGCTGGCATAATGTCTAAGCAGCTTGTGAAAGACTTTGCGTTTAAATTTGTTGAATGCTCGTCTGAAACTTAAAAAGGTGTAATTTGGTGGAATGTAATAATTTAATTTATCTTGCCGCCAATTATCGACTCCGAGATTGCATCGTTATCGATGTATTTACTCATCCCTAACGCCACACACATAAGCAAAAGCATGTCGGCTGACGAAAAAAAAGATAAAACCATTGAAAATATGGTATGTAAAATACTGAAAATTATTTCAAAATCAAGTTGAAAGTGCTTGCCACAAACGCGCATTAAAAAACTCCTGGATGCAAATGTGTTTATCGTGTAACTAAAGCGCAACAAATATTGCTCTCGACAAATCGGTCTTCTCCCCTGCGACCATTCGTTTATGTGTATAAACATGGCGTCGTTGCGTTTGTATGTTGCTTGTGTCTAGTTTTCGGTGCGTGTGAGCGGGACAACGTGTGCATGCCCAATGCCCCCATAGACACGCATACACAAACGCAAAGCTCAAAAGAAAACTTGTGTGTGCACTAAAACATTTGAAAAAAAAATACGGACTGAAACGCATAAACCAGCGGCCGAGCAACGCACAGTCCGATGGTAGTGGTAGTGCGCCAAAAATTTGCAAGTGTGATTAAATTGTTTTTTTTGCTCTTGTTTTGATTTACGCTAGGATGCCAACACAACGCCAGAAGCGGAGACAGCGACCAAAGAAAATGCCGCTGATAAGGTAGTAAACGAGTCGAAGGCGCCAGAAAGTGCAGAGCCAACTACACCCGATTCAGAGGTAGCTAAAACTGTAGAGAAGGACAGCGACGCAGCAGCGTCACCCGCTACTGATGACGTCGCTGATAAAAAAGCTGTTGGAGACGCAGCGGCTGTGGCCGCGCCAACATTGGATGCAGGTAAATAAAAGAAACAAACTCGTACATTCATACAAACACATACTTGAATCGTGTATGTGTATGTGCATGTATTTTGTGTAAAGAAAGAGCGAGAAAAACAAAATTCATAAAATGAATTTTGCGCGCGTTTCGTAGAATGCGGCGAATAGCAGAGCTGTCAATTCATTTTCGTCGCTTGCCGTCTTTGTTGCTGCGTTGGCTGTGGCACCGCTGTTTAAAATGCCGCGCACATGTGTGATCGTTTGCGTATGGTGGTTCGAACTCCGCGCAAGGAGTGTGGGTGTTTATGTTCCTTTTCTCTCTTATCTTAGTTAATAAAAAGTATTTATAGAATATCCTTGGCTATTGTTCATGCTAAACCCTGACCAATATGGTTTCGTGTAGTAAAAGCTAAGGTAGATTAAAACTTCAATTTCATGGTTCTTTGCGCTCCCAAATGAAAATAGCACTGGACTTCCCAAGCTTGAAGACAAATATTTCAATTATTTTACCTTTTTAAAGATACTATTTGAAATCCGTTGAAGGTTGTTTTTATAAAAATATTTATCTAATCCAATTGCGGATATATGATAGTATCAAAATGTTTCTAGACCAATAATCTGATTAGTATGAGGATAAAAAATGTAAATATGTAAAAAGATCATATATAATATTTCGTTTCACATAATATTTACCATCAGATGAGAAAAAGGACAAAAAAGCGGCATCGCCAGCGCCGCCTTCAGCAAAGAAAGTGAATAATGGCGCTAAGAAAAATGCAGGCAAGACTGAGGATGACGAAGATGCAGATGAAGACGAGGAGGAAAGTGAGGAGGATCAGGTGGACGATACCCAGGATGATGTCAGCGATGAGGAGAAGAAACCAACAGCCACAGCGGAGAAGAAGAAAAATGATGCAACAGATGGTGCTAAGCCCAAGTCTGGATCTGGAGGAGCGGACAAGTCAGCGGTCGCAAAGAAGACAGAACCCAAGGCCAAGAACGGCAAGGTGGAGAAGTCAGACCAAAACGAGAAAGATGACGACGACGCTGACGAGGGCGATGGTCTCGATGAGAACAACGAGGTGGCAGAGGATGACGAGAATGTGGTGGCCCTGGCTGAGATCGATCGCATTAATGAGAATATAAACAAGACGCGAGTGGATGGCCTCCAGGTGCTACATTCGGTAAGTTACTATCGGGGATCAACATCTAATAAGATTAGGGAGCGTAATGGTTATTTATATTTCTGCATTATAATGTAGCTCTGCTTTGGCGCACAAGGAAAAAACAATGTGGTGAAAAAGAATCTGCGTTCGTTTGCTGGCTTTGAGTTTGCCAAGGATTCGTCGGAATACAAAAAGAAATATGAGTCCATTAAGAAGGTGGACAACAAATCTTTGCGTAGCATCTGTGAAATTCTCACGCTAGATCGCAAAGGCAGCAAGGACGAGATTGCGTCGCGTGTGCTCAAATTTCTGATGGAGCCGGATGAGTCGCTCTGTGTAGAACAGGCTGATGAGGAAGAAGAGGAGGTGGACGATGAAGATGTTGACGAGGATGAGGAGGCCGCCAGCGAAGACGATAAGAAACGCAAGAGCAGTAAGACAAGCGGAGGTACCGGCAGAGGCTCAGCTCGCAATTCCAGCGGACGTCCAAGACGTGCAACGGCAGGCAAGAGTAAGTGAAACCCAATCATTCAATGGAATGGACTCTTTGATTTAGACTCTTCGCCTTACTTGCAGAAATGTCTGCATATGTAGATTTATCAAGCTCCGAGGAGAGTGAGCACAAAGTGACAGTGGCTAAGCGGAGACGGAATGATGACTCCGAATCCGGCTCAGATGTAAGTTAGTTTATTGTGTAGCTCCTCAGTCCAACCTACATTTTTTTTCTACTTGCAGTACAATCCTTCGGGAAACTCAGATTCTGATGCGGGGCGCGGCGGCGGCGGTGCTGGTGGAGCAGCTGGAGCCGGTCGTAAGCTCTCAGCTCGGGGCAGTCGCGGACGACCCGCTCGCAAAAGTCGTCGAAGAAATTCAGATTCCGAAGACGAAGAGGAATCAGAGCTATCAGATGCAGATAGTGATGTAAGTCCTTTTTTTTTTCAGATTATCTTGTTTAATAAATTTCTCACGGCATTCGCTCTATTCAAACAGGTGCCGAAGCGCAAGCGAGCAACTACTGGAAAACGTGGCCGATCCGCTGTGACCACTCCAGCTGGTAGACGAGGACGTGGGCGGGGCGCTTCTGCGCGAAAGCGCAAAGACTCTGAGAGTGACGAAGAAGAAGTATCAGAGGATGAAGAGGAGGAGGAAGCGTCTGAATTTGGCAGCGAACAAAGCGAGGTAAGTAAACCAACTAAAAGAATTTATGACAGAAACATAAACAAAATACTTTTAAATCTCGTAGGAGGAACGTCCCAAAAAGAGTAAGAAGCCAACAACGCCTGCGAAAAATAGCAAAGCTAACAATAAGTCAAAACCAGCTGGAAAGGGTAAAGCAATTATCGGATGTTAATGGATGAAGTCTTACTAACAATCTCTTCTTGTACTTAGCCGCTGGTCGACCGAAGAAATCAAAGAAAGAAACGTCCGAGGAGGAAGATGTTGACGACAAAGATGAGTCCGATGAGGATGAACCATTAAACAAAAAGGGCAAATTAGCATTCCCAACGGTAAAATATCACTTATATTGTTAATGGTATATATACTATATATATTTTGTCTATTTTTAATTCCCATTGCAGGACGAGCAAATACGCGGCTATGTCAAAGAAATTTTAGACAAGGCCAATCTCGAAGAGATTACTATGAAAACGGTGTGCAAACAAGTCTATGCAAAGTACCCAGATTTCGATTTAACAGACAAAAAGGATTTCATAAAGGCCACAGTTAAAGCGGTAGGTGATGTCGCATGTCAGAGGATACAAGTCTTCTAAATCTTCTGTCTCATTACAGTTAATTGCAACATAAAACTACACAAAAACGGAGGCAATGGAGCCTGGGGATGGGCCAGCAAGCAGATAAACTTGTACCAAACACTAACAACAATACAACAAGCGACCGCAAAGCAAATATATTTTGCCACTTTTTGAGAGCTGCTGCGACAACAAAGAATTAAATCTAGTTTTCCTATAAGCGTATAATTTGTACTCTTTAAAACTAACTAAAACTCAACCTTGAACGGATTATGTCCTTTTTCTATTGTGTACTAGGAGGCGATTATCCATATATATGCATGTGAATAATGTATATATGTAAACGTAATTTGTAAACACTTTATATTCATTTTCTTTATGAATACCAGCGCTCTCAAACAGCTCTACAAAAGTGTGTAATTTAAGCAAACCGAAATAGAAAAGAAAAGAAACTTGTAAAAACCTATATACACACAATTTATACATTTAAATGTAGTGCTGATTGATTTGACGTTCAAAATTATGTATTTTAAATTAAGCAAAGAGGATAAATAAAAACAAAAAGATTATCTAAAATTCACACACTGGCAGCAGTACAAAAAACGAAGTATGGAAAACTTGACAAGTCAAAATTCGAAATTTATAATATTGAGAAATATTGCACACGTTTTGGCTATGTTAAAAATAATAAAGTATTTGGAATTAGGAGAGAAGTGCAGCAAATGAGCTGGAAAAAATGCCTAACAAAATGTTTTTTTTCACAATTGCAGGTATTAAATTGAGAAATCTCGCAGGCAAAAGTTTGAAATATTTGTAAAATATGTACGGTTGCAAGTTTTGATATTGCAATTTCGCTTGATCATTGTGATGAGGACGTGAACTATTTAAGGAGTCTTGAAATGGCCAGTTTTTTTTTTTAACTCTCAAATGATTGTTATAATAAGTATAAACTTATGTATGATTTCCACTATAACAAGTTTCTGTCCTTTTCATTTATCTCAAGTACTTTGGCTTTGATAATATATTGAAGACAGAACTAAAGCAGGTTTCCCTTGCAGAGCGGCAACACACAACTAGGATTCACACACCAGACACACCCAAAATATAATACACATGATAAAAGCAGTGCATCGTAAGAATACTCTTGCGAATTTAATGTATGTACATTTTAAACAAAAAAGAAAAAAAAACAAGGTTCTAAACAATGTTTTGAATCCACTCCCATACATAAATACAAGCATCTCAATGTACGTTTCTTGTAGTAAAAAAGAAATTTTCAAAAACAAATGGCAAAATTAAAATAAAGCTCGATGTGCGTTAAAATATACAGACATAAAATAAAAAATACAGACATATATAAAGAATATATATAAAAAAAAAAAGAGTTTACGAGGATCGTACAACAAAGTTGGATAAAATTTATTGAACGCTCTCTCTCTATAGAACAGAAATTAACTTAACCGTAAAACGCGTGCGTCCCAATTGGATGCCTAGATATAAAACGATATTTTGTTTTATCTTTAAATGTTTCGCTATGGAAATAAAGACGGATGAAGTATATATGTATATCAACAATATATTGCGAGAAAATAAAGTGTAGTGTGCTTTTAATTTAATGGGCTACGGGAAGTATTTGACACCAGGATATTGGATTGCTTCATATGAGTTCATAAACTATGGTAAAACTGCCAAACTTGGTGGAACCTTTAAACAAAAAACCGTTTCTATTTTTTTCAGATAGTAATTTATTGAGAAATTTAAAAATGCAATATTCGGCAATATTTAAAATAATCTTTGTAATATACTTATGTAAGTAGTTTATGATTATGAGGAATTAGAGGTAAATATGTCAATTTAACTGGTAAATGGATCACGCGGATAAGGCTGTAACATACATATATCAATTTTCGATTTTGAGGGGGTTAAGTCCATTAAAAAAAACAAAATTATTTTTTCAAAATTTGTAAAAAATGAATGTTAGGTTTAAATGCATAGAATAGAGTATAAACGGACTTTTTCTCAATTGGCCCTGGAAATAGATCAAAGCACATAATTTAAATCAAATATAAAGAAATATATATCAATTTCAAAAATATCATTTGATTGCGAAATAAACGGCTTGAGATTGACCCAAATTGGATGGCAAATGGATTTCGATGGGTTATACAAAAGTCAGATACATTAAAATATAAATGTAGTCGCTTGTTGTATACTTACCACAAGTGCAGATTATAGTCTTTCAGGTGCCGATCACTAAAATTGAAAGAAATAAACAACTTCCCCATCCAAGAAAAAAATATCTATGCTAAATCAATATTCAAAACGAGCTGCTTCAATGAACTCTAAGATTAGAAATGTACGGTAATTGTTGATCTTCCAGAGTTATGACTCCGATAATAAATATTGCCTTTCAATAGAGCTTTACCGTTTCTTATGGAACATTAAAATGTCAATATAAATAATATTTATATACATACACATATTAATATAAATAATACTCGTAATTTAAAGGTAATATAAACCGCACAGATCGCAAACAAATGATATCTTGAAACCATATATACTAATATACAATTATTAATCGTGGAGATTCGAGTTTTTATATTATAAATAGATATAATCAATATTTCAATTAGTTTGGAGGCTCATACGTGACGCTACTTTGGGGGTAGTACAGCGTGGAAAATCGTTGTGGTTGGCTATTGAAATATATAGAGAAATATACATGTCACATATGTATTGGATGTAATTTATGTACAAATATAGAATGTATATAGAGAATATCAGCAATATACGAGTACATGTGCGTAAGATATGGCATTTAATATATGTATAGAGAAGTAGTATATTCAAAATGTTTCAAGGTATAAGTGTATTCATAGACCTGCTACATACCCAACAATTAACGACAGCGACTGAACACAAAACCAAACCAAGCCCGGCCCTAGATCCCATCCAACTCAGCGCCTCTGAAAATACGCTCAGAAACGATTTTCATATATGGCATAAGACGTTGAAAAAAATAAAATATAATAAATAGAAACGCATAATTTGCATACTACGTACATGGTACATGTACGTCGTATTTTAGTAATGGGTTTATAAATATAATAATATATTATAGTCATTATGTGTTTATTCAATGTATCGAAGGCTGCTGCGAAAGAGATTAGTAAATCTTGCAACACGCCCACTTTCTTGTACAAATATTCATTAGAAAGGGTGCATATCATTTTCAGCAGTTGCAACATTAATGTTTTTTCATATTAAAGAGACATAAAACTTAGGCTATTTATTGCATATAAATATATATTTATAATGTTTCATAATTGCAGACCTACGGTATATGGTTTACTCATTAAAATGTTCATGGTTTCAATTGTAAGATTCGTAAGACATACACAATAATAACAGAAGATCTTACCAAGTTTCACGCTTTTACTTTACTATCATATATTTATTATATATATTTTTATATTGGCTTTTCATAAGGTTTTCGGTTAAGTTGTAATTGTTATGAACTGGTTTGAAGATGCCTGGATTAACAAACGGCCTCTGAAAGTACATACATGTGGTGCATGTGCATAATATACATACGTATTCAAGTTTTCAAATACATACACATACTCAAAATATCATCGAAATAAGTGAACTTGTTTATGAGCATTTCTTTTTAGCAAAACTTATCATTAAAGATCTTACCAAATTATAGGTACATGTTCGGGAATTAAAAAAAAAAAGATATATAACAAATGCGCCAACAGATTGCTAAGAATTCAGACAGGACAAGCATTAGAGAGCATGGAATCTGCGTTGGGCTCCTTGCGGTTATATTGTATGGGTGCTGCCTAAGAAGTTGCTCAATCGAACTGAAATTTATGGAAAATTATGGCTTAAAGCTATATAAAGAATCATATGGGTTTATCCTCAACTGAAATATTAAATTAAAAATTTTAGTAATTGAATAACAACATATAACCTTAAGATTCTCAGATCAACAAACCAGTTTCATCCAAGAGAAAAAAAAAACATATTCCTAGGCATTTTTTGTTCAATGTTTAAGTTATATAAGACCATTGGCAATTTTACAGGTTGAAATTCTTACCAGATCAGTAGACACGTTGATCGTAGTATTTAATATTATAATATATGTGAAGGTATAATGTTATATGAATGCATTAAAACTAAGCTAAGTTAAAATGTATGAGAGAAACGTTTTGTGGTATCAAAAGGTAGGTCATATTTTGTATATATGTTTATTTGTTGTCTTTCAATCGACACACTCCAACGTGGACATAGTTAAACATGTGCATTGGCTAGTTGGCAGCAGCTCTCGAGATGCCTAAATTGACGACGAAAGAGATTTTATGCATGTGAAATTATATGCACAAACATAATTGCGAATCTGTATATATATATATATATAAATGTTTGTATGCATATACATATATAAATAGCAATTTGTGTATTGTCCCAGAATTTGTGTATCTGAACCTGGACAGCAACAGCATTCTTTTCGTTTATCTCTCTTTTTTGTTGTCATAGAATTAATATTTCAGGCAAAGTCACTTAAAATCTAAAGTCAAATTATAAGTAGAAAAAGAAACCAATGTAATTGGCATATAATTAATATATATAATAAATTTACATTTATGCAAAGCGCGACGCTTCAAGCTGCAAGTGTGCAAATTGATTGATTGACTGTTTGTTTGATTGATTGATTGATGGTTGTCTTGACTGTTGGAGCTCGTTGATATTCTTCTCGCTCAGCTGTTTGCGCTTCAATTAATTTTTGCTAATTTATTGGGGATAAAAGACATAGGATAGTAGAACAATTCAAATGATTCACTGCAAAGAGTTTTACGCATGGTAAACAAGATTTCGTTAGGTTTTCATACATAGTTTAAAGGTATTTAAATACATAAGTAAGTATATTGTAATAATACAAAAATTCACAAAGTATGGATCAAAATATAAACAGGCAATAGAAAGAAAGCAAAGCAAAAAGCAAATATAATCAAGGAAATTCAAGGCAGCAAAGGCAACTCGCAGTCTACCTGCATATTCAAATGTGTCTCGACATAGTTTGAGTCGAATTCGAGTACTCACCATTTCAAGGCACCCGCATCTGTTTCAGTCCCCTCAATGTTTATCGTTTTTGTGTGATTTCTGCTGCTGCTGACCCGGTCCGCCAGCAGGGCCGCTTGGATAGCCGCCATAGGCACCGCCCGGATAGCCGCCTGGATATCCAGCTGGTGGACCCCCGCCCTGGCCACCTCCACTGGCAGCTCCGCCGCCTTGGGGCTGTGGGGCCCCTTGCGGATGACTCGCAGCAGCCGCTGCAGCATAATACTGTGAATATTGTGCATATTGGCTAGGAGTCATACCTTGGGCATAGCCACCGGCCGCTGCAGCGGCGGCTGCTGCTGCAGCTGCCGCAGCTGCTGCATTGGGCTGTTGTTGGTTTGGATTTGGACCGCCTTGATTCGGATTGGGCGCACTATTGTTGCCGCCAGCGCCGGCTCCGTTTTGCTGTAGACGCCATCATTAATATAAATAAATTAATAAGTGGAATTTCAATGCTATCTTTAATGCAGATGCAATTACTACACTTAAATTAGTGGCTTAAGCATTACAAATTCCGCATAATATTTCGCATAGTTTGAAGAATTTTTCATACCTTGGTCTTGAGAGTCTTTTCAATAGCTTCTGCCTCCTCGATCTTGCCCACACTGCGATAATATTCGGCCCACTGTGCGCTGTAGTCGGCACCACTGCCACCACTTTGTTGTTGCTGCTGCTGAGGTTGCTGCTGTTGTTGTGGAGCCTGCTGACTGGGGCCCGGAGCGCTGGCCGCCATCTTAGCCTTCATCTGCTGTTCAATCATCTCTGCCTCGCGATGACAGCCAATTTGTCTGTAATTCCAAAGTGTTGTAGAAGTATGAAGTATGAGCTCTTCACTGAAATTGTTAAATCTCACCCCTTGACAACTTACTTGTAGTACTCAATCCACTGCGCTGAGTAATCTTGACCACCTGCACCAGCAGCGGCACCTGCTTGGCCCTGACCTGCTGCCATAGCCATTTGTTGCTGTTGTTGAGCAGCGGCTGGATCCCAGCCGCCCTGTTGTCCATATGCTCCCCAAGGTTGCTGCTGTTGTTGCTGGTAGGCAGCTGCCGCGGCTGCGTTGGGGTCGCCACCCTGCATTTGGTTGCCTCCGTACCCGCCGGCCTGTTGATTGTGATGGGCATTGTTGGCGCCACCGCCACCACCAGCACCTCCACCTCCGCTGCCACTAATGGGCTTCCGCGACAGCACCGTTAACTCCATGTTGATCTTTTCGGATATCATTTGACGTGCAGCCTCCACCTGATCGGTGGTGCCCTTGGACTTGAAGAGCTTCTCATTGGGCGGATTGCTGGCATTGCGATCCATTTCTGTGTGGGCGCCCGACTGCTGATTAATGAGCTTAATAGTCTCGCCACCGCGTCCAATAACAATCTACCAATACAAGAAGTTCATCAAATAGCGTTCACTGGATGCACATAGATTTTGTAACTTACGCCGCATTTAGAGGCGGGCACCAGAAACGTAATCTCTTCGCGACCACCCTGCGCATGATTCACGCCGTACCCATAGCCATAATTGGAATTGTTTGAATCACCGCCACCTTGACTACCGCCGCCGCCTCCTCCATTGCCATTGCGATTCATTCCGTTGCGTTGCTGTGGATTAAAAATGCACCTGTTATTACCCGAATATACTTGAGAAAAGCGATAAACTAAAAAAGCCATAAGTTATCGGAAAGTGTGAAACTTTAAATTCGGACCTATTTAATTTATATTTCGTGCTTCAGTTTCATACCACGATATACTATAGCTTCATATGTCAAGTCTCTACAAAACAGCCAGCTAGATTGGGTGGTAATATATATGTTTCTCATGCTCAGAAACAGTTGTGAATGCGTATATTGATTTGGGTTGCTTCTTACCATCACATTCTCGATAAGGCCATCAATGGTGCGCTTGGCATCCTCCACCTGTTGGCGTGTGCCCTGGATGACGCAGCGCCGATCTCCCATCTCATCGTTCTTGCCTTGGATGAACTGTAGCTTGCAGCCGCATTCAGTTTGAATTTTACGTATCATATCGCCGCCCTTTCCAATGACCACGCCCACAGCTATTTTGGGCACGAAGACCTCTACGCTTTCCCCGCCGCTGCCATTGTTAAAGTTGTTGAAGCTTTGCTCAGAGCTACCGCCACCAGTGCTACCACCACTGCGTCCGCCCTGCTGCTGCTGAGCCAGTGCATCCTTTTGGGCGATCAGATCCAAGACCATTTGCTTAGCGTGCTCGACCTTTTGTGGTACCCCGGAAATGCGCAGTGGCTTGATAACTTCCTGATTGGGACCATCCTGAATGATAATCATGCGGGCGCCGGTTTTTTCCTGCAGCTGCTTAATAGTATCGCCGCCCTTGCCAATGACCAGACCCACCTTTGCGCCAGGAATCATGATTTCCTGGTACGGCGGGTAGCCCCCGGGACCCGGCGGCGGCATATTAATGGTTAACAGAACCTCACAGGTACCATTGCCCCCACCGTTTCGATTGACCATCTGCTGCAGCATTTCGCGTCCTTTTGTGCAGCTCTCGCGTGTACCGCGCAATGTTATAACCCGCTCTTGATCCTGCATCAGTTCAAGTTTAGCACCGGACTCTGCTTCCAGGTGACTAAGCGTGTCGCTGCCGCTGCGTCCCACAAATGCGCTAACTATGCTCTCCGGTATGCGGACCTGCTCCTCACAGGTGGATGCCGGCCAGGCGGCCAAACGCGCTGCAACAGCGGCTGCCTGCGCAATGGCTTGGGTCATATTGGCGCCACTACCACCACCACCGCCACCGCCACCGCTACCACTGCTCATGTTCGAGTTATTTTGGCCGTAGTCAGGACTGCCAAATGAACGTTTGCAGTCTGGTCCGCTATCGCCGTCGTCGTTATGTCGCTTAAAGTTGTTGGTGCTGCCTCCGCCTGCGGATGGGCCACTAGTGTCGCCTCCACCACCTCCCTGTGACTGCTGCTGCTGATTTGGTTGTATCTTTGCAGCAATCTGCTCAAATACAACAATAGAACAGTTACTTTTGTCGTAAATGGCGCCTTTTTCCGATTCGGCCGTACAGACAGCTCCTAGGCAATGCTTTGCTTCTTCTTACCTGCTTGGCACGTTGTATGGCAGCTGCCAAAGCCTGCGATTGACTTAAACTCGCCTGCTGCGTCTGAAAGTCACTCATATTTGCAAATATTTCCGACCCAAGTGCTTTTCGGCTGCTTCTGTTAGTCTTTTTAATCTAAATGAACAGTCCACGCCCCGATATTTTCGCAAAAACGCCGACGCAAGTTGACGACGTGCAACTGGAAAATTCAATAACGAAATGCACTGGAAACCGGAAAAGGCGTGTTTTCACTAGATTTCTTTAATAATTTACGTCGCGTTGAATATTGCTTATAAAACACCAGCGCAAACCTTTAGCTAATTTTTTGGACTAACAATTATTGCTATTGCTTCAGCTTTCTTGGTTTTTTTTCGGTGAAAATTATGCGCCCCAAAATGCGTACATAGGGATGCTTAGTTTCCAACACTTTTTGATATATTTTCCAGCACTTAACGGCAATGTGGCTGCAATAATATCGATAACTATTATGTGTACATCGCTGTTTTGATTAACTACACCAATGGCTACAAAATCTAGAATTTGTAAGAAAAAAAAGTATGTTAGAAATTTCGGAAAAAATAATTTTCGCAAACTATGGTTTAAAAAGAAACTGTGTTTATTCTTTTGAATTTTTGTATAAGCAAAACTATATTTATTGATAAGCATTTTGCCATCCCTAGAATAATGTATTAAAATGATCGAATGCAAGCCGATATACATAGCTACTAGAGCCATAGCATATGAGTCGATATAAGTTTATGCCACAAATGATTAATTTGCTGCATAAATAGACATGGGCTGTTTGCATATATCTCGTTTGAGATTGCTTACGTTATTTAGATTCCATACTATAATAAATTAAGCTAAGAAATAAAATAGTTCGTTTGAACTGAATGAACGAGAATAATGTGTTCAATTTAGCGAATCGCTTGAGCGAACAACTCTACCTTATTCCCAGTATTTTCGTTCCCATTGTTTTGCTGCAACTATTACTGGTTTCTGTAACAAAAACAGCTGAACTTGGTTCGGTCAAGAAAAAGACTTCGCATTTTCCAAAAGTGAGCGGATGATAAACATAACTAACTAAATTCTGCATATTTCTAAGCATCCTTACAATTCAGAAGCGTGGAACATAAACAAAAATAAAATGCCTGTAGACTGGTTTGGTTATGTATACGCTGCCACAGTTGCCGCTGGCGGAATTATGGGCTATGCGAAGGCTGGTTAGTTGAAGTTAATTAAACTTAACATTGTGCAATCAACTAAAACTTCAATTCTACTAACCAGGCTCTATACCATCGCTTGGAGCGGGTGTTGCTTTCGGAGCGTTGCTTGGCTATGGTGCCCACTTAAACTCCCAGGATCCACCACGTCCGCTGCTCCAATTGGGCACATCGCTCTTTTTGGGCGGACTAATGGGCGTGCGTTGGAATCGGTCCGGAAAGTTGATGCCAGCTGGAATTGTGTGTGTGCTTTCTATCGCAGCTCTAGTCAAGAACTTGGTCACATATAATCGTTACTTGCCAATGCCCACGAAGGGCGCCTAAACACAGAACAAGTCTGGATTGCTGTTGAGCTTGCCGAGAAGATTTTGTACAATTTTTTTTTTATATGGTTTTTTGCTAGATTTGGAATAAAATGTGAATGGTGTATGGACTTATATACAAGTAAGAGATGTCAAGCTGAGGTGCAGATACCCTGTACCCAGAATTTTGAATTATACTATACTATATAATAAACTTGATTTTCTTTTCACTTAAAATCTGAAACGCATTTCTACTCTTTAGGATATTTATTAGATATAATGTACTTTCATGATATAAAATATATAGGATAGGAATATTTACTCGTGCTAAACTACCTCTGCAAAACATTTAAAGTGTATAGAACCTGACTGCGATAAGATAGTAATGAAATACTTAATCTTCTGCCAACAATTTGTTAATGCGTAGCATATTTTTGTTCGTTTGATAACATCTTTTGAATCATAGCAGAATATTTACTGATAGCTCGTTAAAAACATTTGTTAAAACACTCGTTAAAAACATTTGTTTCAACCTAAATAGTTCAGAAAAGAACTTTTTTTGTAATTCAAACACCATTTGGATTTTAAATTGACAGAATGAACGTGGTTCTTTTGAATCATAGAGAGTATTTACTGATAGCTCGTTAAAAACATTTGTTAAAAACTAAATAGTTCCGAAAGTACTTTCTTCTTAATTCAAACATCACTCTGATTTTTAATTGACAGAATTAACGTTGTTCCAGCATGGCCTGGTGCAAGAGTTTCGCTTCAAATATTTGATATCCCATTTACCGACAGGTGAAAATGGATTTATTCGACGTCAAAAATATCTCAATATGAGTTTGAAGTCCATCCAGTTAAGAACTAAAAATTACACTCGACGTTTTCCGTCTAGTCCCGTGCGAGGAATAATAAGTTTTCCCCCATACAAGCTTAAACTACATTTTTAACCCAGGCGAGCTGAAATTTGTGAAAATGTGAGAAAACGTGTGTAATGCATTTTTACAAAGATTTTTGATAATAAGTTTGAAGCCGATCAGAGAAAAGGCAAAAAGCTGCTTGCAACCGTTTCCGTTAATTTTTCACAGATGCAGGTGGAATTTCCAAAAACGTTGAAACACGTATTCATTAAGTTTTATTGGAGAGATTTGCAAATAAGTTTGTGATTTTGAGAAAAGTGTGCAACACTTAAGCAAAAAAGTTGCCTGTAACCCTTCTCTGCCAGTTTTCATCACGTTTTTATTCAATTCTTATGTAGAGTTTTGGCCGCTATTCAAGCGACTGTTCGAAGACTGCCAAAGAGTTGGTTTGACAGTATTGTGTGTTATAAAAGAAACAAAACAGCATAAAATTTCTTATTTTTATTGATAACAGACATTTATTTATAAATTTTAAAAATATATTATTGCCACTTGGTAAATAGCAACAAGTTGAATTGATAAATATAAAAATTGTAACTTTCTGATGGATTTGAAACGGCGAATCTGCTTTTTAGTGCGAGCATCAAAGTCACGGAGGCTCTTACAAACGTTGACCTTCACTATCCATCACGCTGAGGTGAAATTCTTTAAAAAGAACCAAAAGAGGAGCCCTTAGTAAAATTAGACTCGTAGCTCTTGGTTGGCAGTCTGGGAGCTGGTCCCTTACCTTATTCTAGAGCCTTCAACTTCACTCAAAATAATCTTCGATTCCTGTTGAGTGGATATACGGACACCCTTCGGGAAAGGGTTTCATGGGTTTCGAGGCAGAGGTAAATAAATGCGTATGCTTCGTGTAAACTATGTATATGTATGTATGTATTTATTTTTATATATATTTCTTAAATTACATTTTTGTTTGTGTGTGTATGCGTGTGATAAATGTACAGTTTCACTTTATATGATTTCCAGTTGTTTAAATCTAAAACTTAGGCATTATTATTAAACTACTTGATGCTTATATTAGGCAATGCAATTTTAAAAATGTTTGATCGCATTAACAATGCACAACTCTTCTACATTTTAATACAACAATGTATGGGATTGTAAGTTTTCTAGTAGGCAAAGTGCGGCTAGGTAAATAACGAATTTGTTCAGGTTTTCATCAATTTTCTAAAAAAGATAAATATTGTTAGTTAAGTATACAAATTATCTTTTATCACAATGGAAAATTGGAAATCTTTAGGAATAATTTATCAAATCGTTTGTTTTTCTTTTAAATACCAAAATGAATGCGTATGTATGAATTTTTTTACAAAAACAAATATTATATACAAAATATACTGTTTTTTAATTAAATTATACATAACATAATATATGTTTTGTTTTTTGTTTGTTTTTTTTTTTACCACATACTGGTGTTCGCATTTATACAAAATTTTCCACTTAGTTGGGTGCGTTGTTTTTTTTTTTTAACAAGAAATATTTTAAATTAGTTGCAGCTAAAACTAAAAACAAATCAATAGTAATTATAATATTAATAAAAATAAAAAATTCTATCTAAAGACACGATTTGCTGAACTGCAAACAAGTATTTGTTAAAATTTCAATGGCAATAACCAAACCGACATGTGCCAATTCCAAACGTTCATCCGGAGGTGGCAGTGCTCTAAAACGGAAACAGCTTCCAGTTAACCACTAAGAGAGAGGGAGAGGCCGCAAGAAAATGAAACAAAAGATCGAAAAATTAATAAAATGTTGAATCAATGTTAACTGCATAAATGTTAGGCGTGCAAATATGAGAAATGTTTGCAGTTTTTGGTTTAATGGTCTGAAAAGTATATTTGCCGACGCCGCCAGACGCCAGACGCCTTTGCGGGTGTCTACTGTATATGTGCCACCATATTTAATTTAACCGCTAAGTTTTGTTCCACATTCCATGCGTTTCCAAGAGCCAAATTGTTTATGTTTTTGTTTTTGTAAATTTTCTTTTCTTTATATTGTTGCGATTGTTGATTTTAGTATGCAATATGCGTTTTGTTTATTGTTTAGTTGATTTTACGCCATGCCATTTGAAACTTTTCCCAAGATTTGGATCAAATAGATACCTTAATTTCTATGTTTTTATATGTTCCGAATTCTTGTTGATGCGTATATAGTATGTTTTATAATTTGTGTGCGTGTGTGTGTGTGTGTGGAAATATATGTGTGTGCGTATGTGGAATACCAATTTGTTTCTGCATTGGTTCGTAATATGTAAATTATGTAATTTCGAGAGACAGAGCCAGAGCATTAGAAATTTGAAGTTCGAGATAGCAGCAGTTGAATGGTTTGTATCAGCGATGAGTTTCGAGTTTTGATAGCGAATGAAAAATATCTGGGCATATGTGAAAAGCCTTAATGAAAATTCCATGAAAATGTCAAAAATTGCGCGCAATAATGCATATTATGGATGCTAAATTTCAGGCATCTGATAAATTTGTTTTTTTGAGTAATCTTATACTTTTGGCATAATCAAAATAAGTTTTTTCATAAATTATTGCTAGAAATAATACTGTAATTGTTCATGCTAAGAGCTACGTTTCAAGCACTACTTTTTGGGGCTACTACTAAGCAGCCCATACTACTTTTTAAATATATTTATTTTCTTAAAATGTGGTAATAAGTAAAAAGTATCAAATGCCATATGGTCGAGTATGCAGTCATGCGATATTACAACTATGTAAATGGCCAATAACGAATGCGTATTGGTAACTGTAAGCCGCAATAACCGATTATACTAAGTATGTATCTAAAGTAGAGCAGGCAGCAAATACCACTAGGTTTTAGGATAAGTTCCATTTTCATTGTTTTTTGAAGTATTTAGCGAAGCTTTTTAGACTACGAATTAACTGTTGGGTTGCTTGTGTTGTTCTTACCGCACGAAGAGTAGCAAAACAAACGAATCGATTTCAGAGACCGTCGACAAGGACAATTTTGTATCTGTTTGCATGTGTGCGTCTAACTGTACGTCTGTGTGTCTATGTGTGTGTGTGTTGACTGTGTGTGTGTGTGTGTGTGTGTGTATAAGAGGTATGCAGAGGCGTTACAGTTACGACTGGTTCGTTGGCAGTGTTGGATAGTTGTTTAGTAGTAGATTTGACAGTGTTGCCGCCAATTTTGATGCTCCTGTTTTGAGGCCTTTCTCCACTCTACATGACTCGTGTGCGGCGTATCAGTTTTTGTGTTTTGATTTTGGGTTTTTTGTTGGTGCCATTTGATGACTGTTGTTGGGGTTCTTGTTCTTGTTGTATGGCTGTTGTTGATGTTGTTGTTGTTGTTGTTGCTGTTATTGTTGTTGTACTTGGTTGATTGTCCAACACCGTTGGCAAATTATTGGTATTGTCGCCAATGTAATTTGTCGCATATGCGGGCGATGTCAATTGTTGTTGTTGTTGTTGATGTTGTTGTTGATGTTGATGTTGTTGCAGCTGTTGCTGACTATAGTTATGACTATTGCTACTAATTTTATTACTACTATTTTTGTATGTTATAATACTACTGCGATTTAGCGTACGTTTTAGAAAGGGGCTGCCATCAAAGTTTTGTTGTTGCTGTTGCTGTTGTCTTTTTTGCTGTTGTTGTTGCTGTTGTTGCTGTTGTTGTGTGCTGCCCGCTTTTGTTGCTGATGAGCTTACGGAGGTGGACACCGATGTGGTGGTGGCTGTCACTGCACCATCCAGTGTTGGTAAATGCAGTGCTTGGAATTTCTTAAAGTATGCATCGATTATCGATGATGTTGTTTTCGATTTTGTGGTGCTTGTTGTTGGCGTTGGCGTTGCCTTGGCAGCTGTTGTTGCGGCTGATGCTGTGCTTGTTGTTGTTGTTGGTGTTGCCAATTGTTGTTGTTGTTGTTGTTGTTCTTGTTGTTGCTGTTGCAGTGTTGTCAAGTGTCGTGGTTGCTGTTGTTGTATGTGAAACTTACGTTTTTGCCGCTCAATCGCTTCATTGATCTCAATGCCAACATTGTCATCATTTTCATCATCCACTAGCTGTTGTCGCTTGTTGCCTTCCTCGCTGTTGTTGCTGTTGCTGTTGCTGGTTTGTTCTTTTGCGCCATTGTTGTTGCCGCTGTTGTTGCTGTTGGTGGTTGCACTATAATTTGTAATTTGTTTTTGTACCAAGGGAATTGAGAAATGTTCATTGGACGATTGTTGTTGTGGTTCTTGTTGCTTATGTGTCGTTTTTACATGTTGTTGTTGTT